AAGGGATCAGTCTACCTGAAGGATGATTTCCCCACGAACAAGCTGGGCTAGGAGGCTTGTGAGCACTGCTGCAGCCAGCTCAGCTGGCAGATTTTGCCTAGGACTGACCTAGGAGCACTCACATGGATTGTCCTGTGTGCCAGCCCTGAGACACAGCAGTGGGTATCTGTGGAGGGCTACTGGGACTGAGTGCATGCAGGTCAGTGACAGGATCTGGGCTGAGAAAGGTATTCCTTATCTGTATACTTGGACAGCAAAAAAGAAAAACAGTCAGGAAGCTAAGGAGCAAATTTACCTCCAGGAGTACTGAGATAGCAGGTACTAGTGCAAAATCAAAGGGGTTTGTCCAAGAAATACAGTAATATTGATCCCAGTGGGAGCAAGGAGGGCCCATAGTGCAATTTTCAACTGAGGTTCCCACCATTAGCTGCTCTGGCACACATGCCCCATTGATCTTGGAGTAAGAAGCACAGGGAAGCAGCAGGAGGAGGAAGGAGCTGCATTTAACTGGCAGAGCTTTGTAGTGGGATTCCACTCCCAGCTCCCCCAGTGCAATCCCACCACTGCTCTCACAAAGTGCGCCTCGAGGAGCACAGCACCATGCATCCATCCCCCAGGCATTCATCCCACCTGGGCCTCCTGGCACAATGTGGCGAGCAGCACTTTCAATCAGGCAACATTAAAATGAGAGAGATTCATTTTTTCATTGACATCAGCAAAAAAAAAATAAAGAAGAAGAAGAAGATGACACCAATTGAACCCAATGGGCTAAATAACATCTTTCACTCGGTTTTCTATGGGCTCCCAAAACTATGGGAGAAAATTGAAATCTGTCTCTTTCTGTCTCCTTTTCTTCCTTTTTTTGTAATAATTCCTGGTATGCAAGGGCTTGTGCCAGGGCTGGTATTGTGGGTGATGAATCCTGAGTCAGGCGGCGGGGAGGTTTCTGTCCTATCAGCGAGCACTTGCCATGGTTTGGGATAATGTGCCTGCGGCTTGTCAGGTGCTGATGGGGAGCAGGAGGGGTGGGGGGATGAATGCATTTTTGATTGCTATAATTGCCACAGATTGGATGCTTGAGAGGAGCTAATTAACAAGGAGGCTATGGGCGGATTATACTTGCAGAACAGAATCCCATGCAGATCCTTTCCCTTTGTGCCACATGTATGAGATCATTGGTAGGTGATTATGGCTGTGAATACGGTGCTAATTTACTTTGCACGTCTGACGAAAATCCTGTATATAATAAAACGCGGAGGCAACTTAAAGTAGCCCAGTTCAGAGGGGAAGGACGGCTTTGCTGCTGAAACACTGAACCCAGAGCTAAGCTCCTGAGGTCTCCCACTTTCCCTGAGTAACCGTGGCTGTGTGACAGCTCTCCCTCCTGCCTCAGTTTCCCTCTCTATCCAAAGGGAGAAGGCAAGCTCGTAAGTGTGGAAGTTTGCAAGGCACTGTGCACCCTCTCAGGGAAGATGCTGTAAAGGATAGAACAGAAATATCATCATGCCACGGGAGCAGCTCAAACAGCACAGCAAAAATAGCAGCCAGAAAGCTGTGCACATGGAAAAAATACACAGAGTGCTTTGTGAACACTCTGGCTCTCTGAAGAAAGGAGTGAAAGCAGCAGATCCAGCTGTTTCTGCAGTCTCGGGATTGGAAAGAACTGGCAGGCAGGAATAGCTCTGTCATGCTGGTCTTGCTTCTCCAGTCTTGTCTTACCAGCATACCTCCTACGTTCTCACAGGCTTCCTGGGGCCCTGAGGGAAAAAGGAGCAAAGGTTTCTCCTTAAACATAGCCCTCATCCAGCTGGAGATGCTTGGGCTGGGGTTTAACCAGGCTCTGACTTCAGAGTAGGGCTACAGTTGTTTTCCCCTCTGGTATCTGGGCACTCATAGTGTCTGAAAATGAGGAATTGTCCTGTAGATTCTGTGCCAAGACACAGCTGGAACATCACCAGCCAAGCAGGGAAAAGAGTTACTGGTGGGGGATTATGAGCATCCATCCATCCATCCATCCATCCATCCATCCATCCATCCATCCATCCATCCATATCCATCCATCCATCCATCCATATCCATCCATCCATCCATCCATCCATCCATCCATCCATCCATCCATCCATCCATCCATCCATTCATCCACCCCTCCCTCCCTGCAGGTTTTAAGGTTGAACTGCAATTCCCATCTTTATTTGGAGCGCTGGTGAAGGGTTTGCCCAGGCTCCTTTCACTGCTGTCTGTGCCAGTGGGAGTCAGGCTGGGCCAGCCTGCTGGGCTTTGGTTTTTCCAAGCAGGAACACTTTGCTGGGAGTCAGGCAGCTTGATGAAGTAGTGGTAGACTTTTTTAGAAAGTTGCAGTATTCCTCACAAATAAATCGCATCTTTACATTCAAAAATGGAAGTGATATTTATAGTATTGGATAATTTTCACTTGAAATATTTTCTGCATTTTTCAATGGAATTTTTTTGGGGGTGGGGGGGCATTGAAGTCAGCATTTTCAGAGGAAAAGAAACAAAACCATTTTCAACCTTTTTTCCTTTAAAGTCAGCATTTTGGATTCCAAATTATATACAGGGATTTAGACCTTTTCCTTCCACAGATCATTTTACCACAGTCATTTTTTATTAAGGTTACTGTTTCCATAATAATGGCTAGCCATTGATTCCAAAATGAAAATATCACTTGCAGATCTCCTAATAAGAACACACTGTTTCATAATAGTTCCTTAGTTTTATTTAATTTTGTGCATATTTACTATGCTCTGGATGATGACTCCTAGAAAACAAAACTCCACAGCCAGCCTTCTCCTACAGTCAAGAACTACTCACCTAAATTTTACATTTAAATTAACGAAGGCCAAGAGAAAAAGCAATCTGTCTTCAGGTTTAAAAAATACTTTAAATGTTGGACTCATTTCAACAACAGGAAAGGGTTTTCTTCCAGACAAAAAGCCCAAGAGGTGTAAAAATGGATTTCCACTTCTGTCATGACTGAATTTGAGGAGAACAATCCATGAATGAGAAAGAATTGTTCTGCTGAGGGAAGAGGCTGCTGCCTATTAGCAACCTGGGCTGCTGGAGTCCAGGGAGATAAACTGGAGAGGAAATACTTCATTTATTGAGAGACAGGATTGACTGTCTGTGAATGCTTTTAGACAAGCTAACAATTGAACCTTGCCTCTGTGCAGCTCCTCTGTCCCTACAACGATGAGCATAGAACATCCATGGACTGTCTCACTGCAGAAAGGAAGAGTAGCCCAAAACATGAAACAACACAGAGAAAGGAAAAGGCAGCCAGGAGAAAACTCTCTTCCGAGAAAGAACTCCATCTTCTTGCCAAAGCAGCCATTTGTGACTCTCTGGTCCAGGTCCCAGTTTTATTGCTGGCCATTTTCTGACAATGTCTCAACCCCAGGTTTTGCTTTGGACCATTTCAAACAATGTCCCTCATCGTGCTGCAGTTTCTCTTTTTGAACAAACCCTCCATTCTTCTTCTCCTCCCCTTAGCAAAATATTTTCCATGCTTCCATGTCAAACTCTGGATATTTGCCTTTGGAAAGTTGGAGAGTGGAGCAAATGGAAGGCAGGGATCAAACTCAAAACCATGGAGTCGCTTCCAGAGACAATGTGGTGGGAAGCTCAGCGGGGTGGGGATGATGGGTAGAAAGAAAAAGGACACTTAAGAGGATGGCATAAGGGTGTTGACCTTTTTAATCACTCACATTGGAACATTGGCACGATTTGCCCTAATTTCTATGCAAAATATGTATCTCTGGTGCTGAGGAGAGACAGGTTGTCACGGATGTGGAACAAGCAAGGTAGAGATGCTGGCAGAGCACACTGCTAAAGGATCAACATTAGCATAGTGGCATTTGGGCTGACGCCTTATCTTGGGCTGACTTCTGAATGAAAAGTAATTCCAGGTTCTCTCCTTCTCCTGGAGCAGTCTGTTACTTTATTATTGAGATTGACTTTTGTCCTGTTGAGCTCTGCCTTCCCCCACTGAGGGGCCAGAGAGGCCAATGCTGCCCTGGGGAGAGGAGGGGGCGGTGGTGGCAGCACAGCCTTGTGTGCTGACAGCACTGGTGACCGCTGAGGCACGGGGGTGGCTGATAAGGGACAGAAGGGGAGCAGAAGAAAGGCCCAGTGACGGATTTGGCACAGGCAGAAGTGCTGTCCAGGCATGCAGGCTGGCAGTGCTGCAGTGCACAGCCCAGATAACAAAGCACTGTCCTGGTGCAGAGCCTGTGACCACCTCCCCTCCATGCCAGGGTGCTGCTGTCCCCTCTGTCACTGCCCAGTGTCCCCAGCCCCAGACAGGTCTCCATGAGGTCCAGCTGCTCCTCCAGCTCTGGGTCCCTCTCTCCAGCCCCCCGTGATGTGTACACAACGTTCCTCCCTGCTGGCAGCTCTCCCCATGAGATTCTGCTTCTACAAAGGGCTCTTGTCCCTCCCATCCTTAAATAAAGAAGAGTCCCATTAAATACTATAAAGTATTTATTGGCCAATGAGTAAAATTAGTGGGTTTCTTCATGGCTGCAATGATCATTAATGAAACTTCAGGGTCCCTGTGGGGACCATGGAGCAGAATAAATGACCTCTTGCTAGTCATCATCTCCCTGGTTTCTAGGACTCTGCACCAGAAATGATCCAGCTTCATTTAAGGAAAATCAAATTAAAAACAGATTAAAGTAAAAGCACCTCATGCCCCTGTTCTGATTTAACTGTGATGAAAAACAGACCATGGAGTAACTTTATAATGGGAGGAAACTCATTTAAATACTCCCCTCCCAACAGAAAGAGATTTAAGAATTAAATGAATGAGGAGATTTTCCTTTTAATGAGATTAGCCTTTTATAATTGCTCATTATGGACCACTCAAGAGATTTGGAAAAAAAAAGTTATACAACATACCTGGAAAACACTGCATTAGAAACCAGCCAACCCTGCCCCTTCACCATCAGTTCCAAAAAGTGAAATTCAAACTAGTTTCTACTTACAAGTCACTCATCTCAAGTGGCTCCAGCTCCTCCAGATCCTCTCTGCAATTACTGGCTTTGTAAAGAAAGTGAAACAGAGGTTTGAGATTAGCAAGCCTTAATACATTTGCTAAAAATTCTCCCCTTTTCCCATGGAAACACATTTATTTTTGACTGTCAGCTGTCTGGCAAAGCCATGTGATTTCATTTCATCTTTCCAAATTTCAGTCCTACCTAAAATAAAGGCTGGACAGAGCCGCCCCTTCTGGCTTGGAAATGCTGGCCTGATTCACAGGCACTATGGGGAGTTTAGACCAGAATTTTTTTGTCTGAACTTGAAGCATTTGGCTCTGAAGTCCCAGCTTTGGGCTGTACAATAATACCAGAGTAAGGACACATACACATGTATAATTTCATCTCTGGCTGTGATTTATGTTTAGTGTCAGGCTCTTGTGGATGAGCTGAAACTAATACTCAGGGCAGGATTTTCTGACAAAGTGTGACTGAGCAGCTGTTTGCTCCATTCCTATGACAGCACTGAGCAGTAAAGGAGATCAATGCCTCTCTTTGTTCCCTCCATGTGCTGGGTATTCACAGCAATCAAAGTCTTGCTCCTTCTCCTTATCTCTTCGCCTACAGTGGCTGCAGTGGCTGAGCATTTGGCCATGCTGGTCTGCAGGGCTGCGGGATGGATTTGCACCTTTCCCACTGGGGCCCCTAGGTGCCTTTCCCATCTGTTCCGCTGGGGTGTGAAAAGCTACTAAATGCAGGAAAATACTCCATTCCCTGCAATCTGGCTGCCTTGGAATGGCCATGCCCCGCTCTCTCTGCAGCCAGAGGGGAGATGGCCACTTCCAGAGGATGCTTTGCTCCACTCCAGGAAGGGATTCCAAGACAGATGGGGTGATGATGTGGCAGGACACCACCTTCTCTTGTCCTCTCCTGCAGCACCAGCTCAGAGCAGACTCCTCATTGTCAGGGCCTCACATTTAGAGAGCTGGATCCTGGACCAGGATCCACTTGGTTTTGAGAAGGCACAATTGAGTGCAACTACACAGGCCCTGTGACACTGGAGCTCAGGCTGGGTGACCACAGCCAAGCCCTGGGATGCTCACAGGGAATGGCCACACCAGCTCTCCAAGGCCATTTGGGCACTCAGCACTGGTCAATGTGTGCTTGCCTGGCTGCCAGAGCTGCTCAGCCCTTTTCTGTCAAATCATTTGGCTCTCAAGACAATATTTTATTCCAGTGTCATTTTGTTATCAGAAGTTAAGTCCATTTCTAGAGCTGTCAGTGTTATTTTACTTTGATTTATACTTCCTTCCCATATTTGCCAACCCAAACAGACACGGTTTTCCAAGCTTTTCTGCTACCCACTGACTGCATTTTCTTGCAAATCTGTGCTGGTACCAGAACCAGGCAGAAAGGGAAAAGTGTCATTAATGAATCCAACCTCTCATTCCCATGCACCCACCATCAGATACTGTCTGCTCCCTCCCATCTCATCAGGGCTTTAGAGATAAGAGGAACTCAGCCTAACTTTGGCCTTTAATGCATACAAATAGGCTTTATGTTAATATTTGCAAATAGCTTCTCAGAGGAGCAAGGTATTTCCCAAGCCTCCCATCCTCTGGGGTTCTCCAGGCAAAGGAGTGGGACAGATGAAGTCATCAGCACAGCCCAGGGATGAGGTCAGAGACAGAATCACAGATATTCTGCTTAAATCCCCCAACTGATGGGGAATTTAGAAGCCCTGTGAGGTCTTGGCACTCCAGAGCACTCTGTGGGCAGTTTCCTGAGTGAACCTGGGCAATTTTATCTGGTGAATCAAGAGGGGTGTTTTTGTTGAAAACCAGACCTGGAGGGCCAGAGCTATTTGAGAATTCAGGTCAAATGCAGCAGAGTCTTGGTGGAGACAAAAGGATGGTGTTTTGAGACAGAATGCCAAAACATATTCTCTGTCTTTCTCCCCCCATTACAAAGTAATTTTTTGTTCTTCAAAAATTGCCCTAATTTTCTGGAGACACCAAAACAAAACATAGACAAAGAAATCCATCTGCACAGGACAGAGTGAAGATGGGGGCTGACTGGAACCCACATTTTCCTATCTTTGATTTCACATGGGGAGCACAGAGGGCACAGTGAGAAAGGGCTGCTGTCGTAAAGAAGAAAAATAACTCCTTTTATCTCACCCAGATCATTCTCCACAGACAGACCCTGACTTTTCCTTGCTGTTAGTGAGACAGCTCCTCCCCTGGAGCAGGTAAGGATGGAGTAGCTGGGACAATAAATATCCTGTCAAAGACCCCTGTAGGTAAGGGTCCAGGAGTCCATACAGGCTGAGTTTGGAGGTTCCAGATCACCTCTTTTTCAGGCAAAGAGAAGGAACTGTCATGTTCATTGCTGGGTTGGCAGTGTCCTGCCCCTGCCCTGCTCCCTTGGGTGGCTGCCTGGGAACTGATACCTGTGTCCGCAACCCCAGTGCATGGCAAAGGAGAGCCCTTCACTCCTCCCATGCCATCACCCTGGCACCATCTATGCCTGCCAGAGATGTGGAAATTAAAATAATAAACAAAGCAAGCAACACTGCATGTGGAGGCTAATGTACCATAATGCTCTGAAACACAGGCAGCTGCTGCCTCACGCTGAGCACAGAGGATGTGCTTGAAAAATGTATCTTCCTCCAACAGCAGTTATTTCAACAATATCCTTCTCTTTTTTTACTTCAAATAAGACATTTACTTTCCCCTAGCTCATAATCTCCATATGGAGGAGAGCAGAGGGCAGTGGGGAAAGGCAGAGAAATTACACTTTTTAACACAGTGGGATTTAAATCATAGGAAAACAAATGGAATTTAACTGCCTGGCTGAAGTCACATTCGTGTTGTGGGTATTTATGGCAATCATCACTAACAACAGGAAGAGATTAGATATTGCTGAGAGCCTGAGTGCTGGCTGGGGAGCAGGGACTGACTCTGTCAATGTGTGTGATCTCAAAAGCAAGGACAGGATGTGTGTCTGTACACACACACCCCTGCCAGCACCCACATGTGGGGGGATTCTGCTTGGTCCCTGCGTTCAGTGGCCATTCCAGAAATGCATTTGCTGCACAACATCAATTTCACATTTTAATCTCAACTTCCACCTGAGATTTGATGAAGAAAGGGGAGCTCATTTTATTGGAACCGGCAGAGAGTGACTACAAGATTAAGTCCAAATGTAGATGTGGGTGTACCTTGAACATCTCCACCAGCAGAGATGTGTGCTCATTTTCCAGCTAAGAGAGAGCCTAAATAGGAACTGTAATGGATATGGAGAGCCTTCTGAGATTGGAAGGGTGGCTTATCTCAGATGTGAGAGCAAGCTGTTTGTCTAGCTGATGCATGCAAACACTGCTTACATTGCAATGCAAACATTGCAATGTGTGGTACAGAGAACTGCCCCAGGAGCCAGGTGAGCACACAGCATCCCTCACCTTGTCCCTGTCCCCATGCTTGGAGTGGGTCAAGACCCAGATTACCCTTTCCCAGCAGTGTACTTTTGACCAGGGATGCAGCAGCACCTAAATAGTGACTGCTGGTATTTTACCAACCTGAGCATGTCCCCCCAGCCAGCTGAGCTGAACCCTAATGGGTCAGCTCCCCAGCAAAACCATCTCATCCTTACTCTAGGAAAATCAACCACAGACAGCCAGAACCACTGCATTGTTTCAAAGGATAAAATTCACTCAGAAATCCCCATTTCAAATTCCCAAGCAAACATGTCCATATTAATAAAGCAAAGTGCTCTCACCCAGAACAGCTCTGGCAGGGAAAAGCATTTTAATGGACTGACTGGGAGGGAAAATTGACTTGCAAGAAGAAGAGTCCTGGCTGGGTCCCCTGAGCCTGGACAGGGGCACGGTTTAGAGACCTGTTTTAATCAAATTGCTTTTAAAAAGCAGAAAGGGAAAAGCTCTCTGACAAATTTGACCTTTGGGCACCTCAAAGATGAGGGCACAAAATGTATTATACACTGGCTCAGGGGAAATAAAATAGGGTGGGAATAGATGGAGTCTCATCTTGGGAGTGGAAAGTAGAGGGAAGAGGACAGACAGATCATCTGCTGGCTGGTGGTGCTGGATTCAAACCCACCTCAAGGTTCTAAATGGGACCCAGCGGGGTCATCCCCAGTGGGAGCAGCATCAGCATCCTCTTGGACAGCTCCCTGCCATGATTTTACTCCACTCTTGGGTTTATTGGTGCTGGAGGCTCTCCAGGAAAGACAGCCATGAGAACTCACTGTACCTGGGGGCAACCAAACAAAATAATTAGCAAAACCACAATAGAAAATAAATTAAACATGCACCAAAGGAATGGGAAATCTCCACTGCCCAGCTCTGCCCCCTGAACAGCACTTCACAACGGAGAGGCTGGAGACAGTGGCTGATTTAAAACTCTCTGGTGCAACGTGGATATTAAAATCCCAGAGGCACCAAGCACATCTGCCCAGATGGGAAAATCAGAAGTTACAGCACTTGGGTGGTATGATAAGTCTTTTTTTTTTTTTTTTTCACCCTGAAAAACAACTCAATTGTGGGAGGAATGTGTCAGTTGTAATTTTGCAATTTAATGAAATAAATCAACCAGATGGAAAGACGAGATGAAGATGAGCCCACACAGTCTCGTGGGAACACAAAGGCCACATGAAGCCAGCTGCTGGGAAACCAAGAGCTTGTCTGGAAGACCTGGCAGCCCCCTTTGTGGTGATGACAATGAAATCCCCACGTGAGGAAGCGTCTTTGAACTTTCTCCAGCCACTGGGGCTGAGGTTTCAGGAACATTTGGTCACTGAGCCACAAGAACAAGTGCTGGCTCAGCTGAGCAGTGATATCAGGGGACTGTAGACAGAGTCCTGCTCCTCCTCACCTGCCAGGATGTCTCTAAAGGAAGCAAAACCTGAAAACTCAGGAGGCTGAAATTTGTAGGATGAGCAGGGAGCAGCAGCAGGAAGAGCCAGAGCCATGCAGAAAGGTTGGGAGAAGTGGCACAGCTTAACCCTGCAAAGCTGAGGAGACACTGCTGGCACCCTCCTGAGCCCAAGTCAATGAGCAAACCCAGACCTGAAGAGTCAGAG